CTGTGAGAAGATAAAATTCAAGTTATTCTCGTGTAATTCTTCAATTTTTGTTCTTCCTGTGATTGTCCAGATTTTTTCATCAACTGAGTTTTTAAACTGACTTTTGTTATCTTTCACTGTTGCATTGGAGAAGATATATGTCTTTCCCAGTTCCAACTGGTCATTAAGTGCAGTAATATTTGCGTCTTACAGTGTTGCTGTAACTTAATTACCTTGTTTAACATAAGTGAAGTTGGAAGTGTTTATAAAATATACAGGCATAATAAAAGTTTGAAATGATGAAAAATATTACTATTTATGTACATCTAAATCCATGAAGACAATATTCTGATATCTAGTAGTTGAATTACGAGCAGTCTTAGGTGATTGCGTCCCTATAATGACCACTTTTGCAGACCAATTAACCTCTGAAATTGCAATCTATTGAATAAATTTATACGGTCCAGCCATCTTTGATATCTATTAATAGCAAGAAGAAGAACAAGAAGTTAGACTAAAAATAGTTACCAAAATGAAGAAACAATTTTTTTCGAGAAATGGACAAAATACCAATGATAAATAGGAAAAGTATCTTTTAAAGAGTTGATAGATATAGAAATGAAATGCATATATGAACTTCAAGTATATATGGTATTTATAGAATGTCCAGAACTTCAGGATAGAAAGATATTTTAGGGATATTTTCAATTTTTTAATATACACGTTGGGCACAGAAGACATATAAATAAAAGTAAAAGTAGTAATATGAGTGTGTGACTATATAAGGTTAATTATATTGTTAGAAGGATAATCTTAAAAATAATTGTAGTTACGTGTAAGTTGAAAAATATCCATGCTAGGAAGATAAGTTCAGATAAGTTATGATACTCACGTAAGTTATGATTATACATATCTATTCATCATTTAATAGAAGATGAATTATAATTATATATGTCTATTCATCGTTTAATAGAGGAGGAAAGTTATAATTGTACTTGTAAATTCATTTAATACAAAATATCTGCAATTAAGCCTTTTTTGTTTTTCATTCTTTCCTTATTAAAATAATACATCAAGCCACTATATTTAAATTTCTATTTTTTGTGTATGATTCATAGTAGCTATATTTTTCATTCTCATTTTTACATAAATGGAAATTTTCTATTTTTTGTGTAGGGTACAGCTATATTTTTCATTCTCATTTTTACATAAATGGGAAATGAATGGAGCCTAAATGTGTACTCCGCTATTAAAATATAGCTAATTTTTTAAATTAAGAATTATATTAATGAAATAAAATATTGTCAACTTAGTTAATTTTTTTACACAGGAACGATAGTTGTTTTGTTCTTAATTATTTATATTTTATATTTGATTAACATAAAACTTTTAAATATCAATATTTGTAAATTGTAATTAAATATAATTAAATGTACGAAGCGTTTGAAAATTTTATTTATATCATTTGAAAAGTGCAATTTAAATTTTTATGTAAATAGATATGTAAAAATATAATTGTTATTATTCTTGAATATTGGAACTTTACTTTTGACTACTTAATTAAGGTATCCAGTTACTACTATTTAGTTAGAAGGCAAATATATGGAAATAACTATTGTCAATTATCATTATTCACTTTCATATATATATATATATATTTGACAGTAAAATAAACTATCTCTGAACTATATTTATAATAAAGGTTTTTTGTAAACAAACGCTGCATATTTACAAAATGATAGAAATTTTATAAGATAATCATATAACGAAAAAGAACAATGAGAATACAAATTTCTTTCAATTGTCGGAAAAGAAATAACAAAAAACTAATATTTTACATGTTATGAATTTTAAATTTCATCAACATGTAAGAATTCATTTTTTCCTCCTTGCATGAGCATGGGGTTGTGAAAATTCAAGTTATTTTCTGTTTTGTAGGATGGTTACATTCCCATGTCATGTATCTACCATTTCTTTCCCATCAAAAAGAATTTTGTTCTGAAGGTTTAATACAATATTTTGTACTGGTGAAAATAGCTCATCAAATCGTTTGTACTTAGCTCCTTGAAATCGAATGAGAATTTTCTTTGCAAAAAAATCCGAGATAATAACATATCCTACGTTAAAATAGAGATGCTTTATGCATCATTTTTTGAAGATTTACCTGCAAGAGAATGGAGAAAAACTTATAACCAAACAATACTAATAATGAAATTTTAGAAATTATCTATAGCCTAATTATTGAATAGATGTTCTATAGCACTTATAACTGTTACAAAATTGATATTACTATTAACATGTCATCATTAGATAAAATACTCCGTTTTAAAATTTTCTCTCAACTTTAGGCTCAGGCCTGTACTGTGTTTAAAGATCGTGTGCCTCCACGAAATAATATATAGAAATATGTCCACAAAGGATTCATTTCAAACTAAACAGTACCAAAAATCTTTCAGTAAAAGATTAGTGTGTTCAAAAATATTGAATACTATGTCATATAGGATGAAAAACACCAACTAAAAGTTCATTTACATTTTAGTAACCATCAAGTCACTAATGGCATGACTATAATTTTTAAAATTCTAAAATGCCAAAAAAGAAATAAAAGAGCTACTTACATGATTTTTTTACAGAGCATCCGACCATCATTTAACTTCAGTAGCAAACTCAAAACTTCTAATGAGAGTTGTACGCCACATGTACTATTCCTAAAACAGATAATTAGACTAAATGAAATGTATAAAAGAAAAATACAAAAGGAAGAAGGAGGATACTTTACTTACTTTTGATCTAGGTGGTCTATATAAGTGTTAGATATATTTATTTTAGTAACCTTAAGTTAATTATTCTAATAAAAAATTCTCTAAATGTATGCCTACCTAATATATCGACGATGCAAATCTATAATAGCTATTATAAAAATAAAAGTAAAAAGTGTTTTCAGCTATAAAATATCAAAATTGAATGGGAAACGATTAAATAATTAAAGATTTCAAAATTACATAATTATATTAGTACCTACCTTTTTCATCTTCAAGAGAGCAGGAGTCATTGATATAATGCTCAGATGGAACTATTTACAATTGAAACCAGATGAAAGATTACAACTTAGCATACAAAAGCAAATCTGAATCTGAAAAGGAAAAAGAGGGAAATTCAACTATAAATTAAAAGTTTATTAATTACTTGTCTGCTTCAGTTGTAAAATATGTAAGTAGCTTAATGCATACCACAATTTAATGAACTAAAAACTTTACCCATAAAGCTAAATTATTCATTTAAAAAGGATTACAGAAAGTAGTTAAAGAATATATAATTAGTAAGAAACAAGCAAGACTATTTACATCAGTTTTGTTCGAAAGAAGTACACATATAGTTTTTCTAATTAGTTGAATGGCTTCGCTTATTTAGCTCGATCACCTACAATATAAAAATGCAAAAGATAGTGAGTTAGACAACTACACCTATACATTAGATTTCAAGTATGTTGTAATAGCTAATTTTAGTATAACCGTACAAAAGTAGTATACACTTTATCATAGTTAACACATACACATAACTTGATCGAAATTATCATTTATTTGTTTTGGTTTGTTTTGCATTGTCATATTCATTCATTCCCCGCAATGAAATTTTTAATATTCTTAAGTCTTACAGTAGAAAACAAGTATAAAAAAAACAAAACAAAAGCATATTTTTTCTTATGATGCACAAATAGAAGTGCTCACAATTATAAGGTCACTTTCTTTGAACATATTTATAATACTATACAGAAGCCTGTACTCCATTGAAGCTTTCTCTATCCTTGTGCTCAACGAATTTGTGCATCAGTAGTAATAGCTTCATAGAAAATATAGAAAAAAAACATTGATTCTAACCTTTAGAGCAGTATTAAGAATTAAGTGTACAAGTATTATTAAAAGTATAAGATACTTACATTGCTTCGATGATATCTTTTATTGATTTATGAATGAAAGAATTTTCTTATACACTACGTTTTTAGTACATGTGATGTGTGAAGTTTCAGCAATTGTTGAGTTAAGCAGAACCTTTAAAGATTTGCTTGTTTTAGCTCTTAACAAGGCTACGTACAACTGACCATGACAAAAAACTAGCTCCGGAAGATATAAACCAACGAAATCAAATGTTTGTCCTTGAGCTTTGTTCATTGAGAAGTATGGCCTAATCGAAAATTGAATTCTTTTAAATAGAATTGAAGTTTGATCACTTTGAAGTGGAATAAAAGGGATTCTTGGTAAAAAAAAAATACTTTCCACAATATTCACCAGATGTAATTTCAGCAAGAATTACATTTTTCTCAAATTTTCGACAAGTAAGTCGTGTTCCATTGCATAAACCTTTGGTGGAATACCATTTGAAGTTTGACAGGATAGTTTATTTTAAGGTTCAATTCATGTGGTGGAATACCATTTGAAGTCAAACTATTCAAGAAATCTTCTTTAAAACTCTGTTCTGATTTATCGATTGTTTCATCAAAACTATAGTACGTAAAAATTTGACCGGGAATCTGTTCCAACAAAATTTTGTTAATATGATCAACACATTCATTTCTAGGAATAAGAATAACTCGATTTGCCATCGTATGTAAATTGTCAGCATATGCTTCTATATTTGGAAAAACGTGATGGATCAAAATTTTTAAAGATTTTATTTCGTCTTCAAATGGTACGATAATATCATTTGGAAGCTGAATGCAATTACAAGTATGATGTTGCTCTATCCTATTTCCAATTTTTAACAAGTAATCACAGAAAGTAGGATCAAACTTCGCCCTCTTATTTTCAACTAATGGCAGATGTACGAATAGGGGCCATAGGTAAGAGAAAACAAAGCTAACTTTCATTATATCTTCTTTTTTTCCTCTTGGTACTACTGGTAGAACTTGTCGAAAATTTCCTCCAAGAACTATAACTTTACCACCGAAAGGCAAGTCACAATCATTAATATCTCTTAACATTTTATCTACAACTTCAACAGCATACCGATTTACCATAGATACTTCATCCCAACAAAATTCCTAAAGCTGACTGCTTATTAACTGAACACCTTACTTCACCAATTATTTCTAAAGGAATTTTAAACCTTGAATGAGTAGTTCGACCTCCAAGTAAAAGAGATACTGATACCCCAAAAGATGCAGTTGCCAAAGCAATAGAATTTTGAGACCTTACAGCAGTTAGTAATGCTTTATGTAAAAAGGTTTTACCTGTGCCGCCTAGACCATCAATGAAAAAAGTAGCACTTGATCCCAATGTTATTTCTCCATAATTATATCATATGCAAATTTTTGTTTGTCATTTAACCTTGATGCACAAACGTGGCCTCCTTCGAGATTCAAATTTGTTGTTTCATCTTCAACCATTCTTCTTAATTTATCATTCTCACTTATATCTACATTGAATGGTACAATTTTATAGTCGTTTATGTTTTTGCCTAAGGATTCTAAAATACAGTTAATATCCTCTAGAGCCCGTAGTTCAGCAACATGTGAATTATATAAGATTTGAATTTATTGCACAATAACTTTGGATCATTAGGGTTGCAAAGCACAAGAAGAGTAGCAAAATGACGTCTTAAACAAATAGACATTTCATAAATAATAGCTTCAGATAAACATTCTTCACAATGGTTATCTCCACTCAATAAACCATGTAGAAGTGCTGCTTCTCAATACGTGACAACAATAATCCCATTTGAAGTTCATAAATCTTGAAATGATGTTGGACCTCGAATATGATTCATAAGAACACCAAGATAATATCGTTCTCCTTCAGATGAATTTACTGTAAAAATTCATCCTATAACAACCTGTTTCTTTCTGCGAGTCCAAACTTTCTTGTTCGTATTCCAAACGAAATGTGTTGGAAAATCTCAGTACAAAAGTGTACACGCAAACTCATTTTCTTCATTCATTCGAAAGAATTCTGTTAGCATTATTTTTCTTGTATTTTCATTTTGAACAACAGTATATAAATTATCTTCATTGTTGTACATTACTTGCTGATGATTTCGATATGAAGCTGTAAAGAATAAACTGTCGGACAAATTTCTGATAGATTGAACGAGAAAATCCTCCATATAGCTTCTGGTCGAGATATCCATCTAGCAGATTGATAAGCAGAAATTTCATCTATTTCTTTCTCTATTTCATTCGTGTGAACTGAAAAATTGATACGATCATGTCCTTTGTAAACATACTTGTACAAATATTTGACAGCTTCAATAGAAGAACATACTTCGACATTAATATGACAGTCAAATTTTGCACTTAAATAAGGATTATATGATACAACCCATCGATTGTCTAACATTTTGCCTCTAACTCGAACAGAAATATTAGTATCACGACGCTTATACAACGGATATGAATCCTGACCAAATAAGTAATATTACAAAAATCTCTAGGGCATTTATTTTTACAACCTTTATTTCCCTCCATGCATGTATTTTTCGAATTCAAGTTTCCACAATAACCATGCATGTTGTGTCTAACAATAACAGAATGAAGATGAGGGTATTTTGTTTTGTCAGGAATTTCACATGACACAATTCTATCAACTTCTTCAACACAAGTGATTTTATTTTCAGAGTTAAATATTAATAACATATGAGCATGAGGAAGTTCTCTTTCTTGAAATTCAATCACATATATATGTGCAATAACACGCTCTAAAATACTTTCTTTATATAAATCATGTTTCAATTCTTCTAATTTTGCTCTAAATATACGTATAATTAAATCGGGTTGATTTTGAACTTCGTCATTATTCTTTAGTTCTTGCTTAATTTCTGACCAATTTGGATGATATGTTATAATTAAAAATATATCCAATTTTTCATAACGTTGTACAATGGCCATTCCATCCATATATCTTCTTAGCATATCACGAGGCCCACATGTAAAAGATTGTGGTAAAACAAATTTTCTTTCAACTTTACATCCTCTAGTTTTCCCCTTTTTTACACTATCTATAATACCTTGGTAAAGTTCAGCACGAATTTGTTTCTGATTATTACGAAAATAGTCTAACCTGGCAGTTTCAATCTTAACGTACATATCTACAACATATGTTGAAATAATCTACTAGCGTGAAGTAACACAGACTTACCAAAATGCCTAATTTGTAATTTATATGAATAGTATTCTCGACAAGATACCAGAGTATGTTTCTTCGCTTCATTGAGCACTACAGAACCCAAATACAAACTAAATTCAACATTTATTGATAAGATAATATACTAAAAAAATATAGAGAACTCTAATAGAAGATATATTTGCAAACCTTCATTCTCTTTTTCGATAATTTCAATTGCAGAAGTAGCTGTGTTAAGAATAACATCATATGCCAACATATGTTGAGGCTGAAAGTATATACTTTTGCATCTCTCAATGCCTTCATGCCAACCAGATTCCCCATACGGAAACAGTAACGGATATTGCAATGGATCATAACACCCATAATAGTAATGAACTTTGGGTGAATCGTCAGAATGGCCGTATATAGAAATGTCACGAGTACGAACATTAGTATTTTCATTATCTTCGACTCATATAGCAGCTACTTGAAATGTTGTAGGAGTATTGAAAACTCTTTGATCAAGTCCTAGATCGCATCGTATTTGTATTTAATGATCATGCAAGTTAGTGACATCACTTAACGACCTAAAAAATTTACTATATGATTTGTTTTTAAGATTTCAATTAAAGCAATTAAAGTAGATTCAACAAAGTTTGATGAAATGTTCATACGATTTTGAACTTTATTTTCTGTATCGTAAAAATATAATTGCATATAAGAAGGTGTGTTATTTTTCGGCATAAGGTCACTTACATAATGACGTACTTGTCCTTGAACTCTAAATGTATAAATACATTTATACGTTTTAAAAAATTCATTATCGTACTTCACACCAAATAAAGTGAAAGCAAAATGATTATTATATCCCCTTACAATTTTTTTAAATTCCGTACAATGTAGTTCTTTATAAATAAATAAATTATATAATTCAACCAGTGAATCACATATAAAGAGTTTAACTTTTCCATCAGAACAACAAAAACCCTTACTTTCTCTATAAAATTTGCGTGCATTACAATGTTTACAGTAGCTGAATGTTGGTAATACATATGCAGTAGATGGTATGTTCAATCCTTTGAAAGTTTCTCCTAATTCAAAACTGATAATATTATGCATTTCTTGATCTAAAGTTGAAGCGTAAGGATGTTGATGCATTATAGATTCATCTAAGTGGCGATCGATAAAATCATTCTTTCCAGATAACGTAGGATCACTTCTCCTTTTATGATAATCACTACAATTATTTCTAAGTCTTTTTCGCCTCTCTTTCTCTTTTTGAACTCGTTGTTGACGAATGAACGCTCTATGTGACTCATTTCCACTTTCGGATGCAATGTCAAAGTTAACAATAACACGGTCTTCATCAACAAACGTTTCCAAAATATCCATTATAATAACAAAATAATTATTGTAGATTTCAACTGCAATAGAAGGAGCATGATATAAAAATTGAAGAACATTATTAGCAAATGTATTAAACCATTCAGAAATGAAGACTAAATTAATTAGCTAAATTAATTAGTTACAATAAACTCTTAAAGGCATTAAACTGTTCAAATTTTCTAACAATATAATAATTATATAACATCAATTACATAAAGATTTAAATATTAATGATAACCAAGCATATGTGGAAAAGCTTTCAACAATGGAGAAAAATAATTGTGAAAAATAATGTTAAAAAAACAAAATATAACTATAAAAATAAGTAAAGTCAATTACAGGAATGAATAAAAAAAATTTCTGTGTCGACATACAAGAACAAAATTATATAATAATCATTCCAATACTTTCGAACAAAATGAATAAATTTATATAATTAAAATTCAAACAATGTATAATGAATTTGATATATAACCCGTCAATTTTTATCTGTATTATTTATTTTTGAGGAAATTGTAATTAATCGAAGATATTTCATAATTTTTCTTCTTCAGCACATGCATATCGGCCTCATTAGTATGTGTCAAAATATTGTTAAAGTGACATCGGAAAACTAAAATAAATTGTTAGGATACTAAATAAACACAATTAAGAAAAAATAACATATTACATGTGTGAAACCCAAACTGATTATAAAGAAGCGACTAAGAAGACAAAAAAAAAAAATATACACAGAGAAGTATTTGCGCCCAAAGAATACATAATCATGAAGTAAAAAATTATTTAAATAGCATTTAATGAAGAGAGTGTAAAATATATACAACAACTTATAAAGAATCAATTAAAATAATAAATTTTGTAATAAAACTTACCCAAAAATTACCGTCGCAACTACGCCAATGATTCTACAAGAATGGTTAGTTTTTGCTGCAACAACTACCCAAAAACATAACATCCAAAGACAAGTTACAGTTTGGAGAACTTCTACTATGAAATAAAAAATCAAAAAGGGCATAAAGAATCCCTCTTTTTCGAAGAAAAAGAAGAAATAATACATAATATCGTAACACGGGGAAAAAAAACAACTAACTAACCTAAGAAAGCTCGGTACGATACTTCATGTCCCAACTATTTAATTTACCTGCAGATTTCTTGTCCTTCCGTTTGAGAGAGCGAAATAGTGTCTTAACTTTGTTGGAAGAAGATTTACGAGAAAGTAATAATATAGAACAATTTTCACATTTATATTATTTCATTTCTGGAAGGTACAGCATTTAACGAAGTCAGAAGATATCTTTGAAACTAAGCTACAGTAACTGGCATTAGATGGTTGAATAAAGTCGACAAAGCAGCAACAATTAATGCAATCAAATTTCATCAGTCTCTAGGGATTTTTTTTTTTTTTTTTTTTTGCATGAATAGTCAACAAAGGCAATAACAATTAATGTAATCAAATTTCATCACTCTTTAGGGATTTTTTTTTTTGTATGAATAGTGCATAACACGTTCACCTACAGTACAAAACGAGATCAATGTGAAACCTCTGCCTCAATGTGAATAGTGATGCAGCCATCCTCTCTTTTAATGTAAAGGAGAATTTAACTATAAATGAGTCATGAGATACATATATATTATTGTACAAAAGTAATAATAAACTATTGTAGGTTCCAACTGTTAGGTGCCTTTCATGTTATTTTCACATTCAAGGTTCAATTCTTTGGATCCAAATATTTTTTGAAATAATTTTGAAATTTGGTCAAACTAGTAAACTAGGCTGACGGTTTAATAAAAAACCAGGTCACTTGCATTCCAATCAAATTATTCTTCTCTATCAAGTGTAGACTATGGCAAAAAGGCAAGATAATCGGGAATCGTTAGTCATCGGATGCTCAAAAATGTGTTCAAAAGCCCCTTATTGCCCGAGGATGGGAGTGGAGGGCGGCCCTATATGCATGCAACAACAGCATTGATGGATTTTGGCTTTTAGCCACTTTGAGCCGAATTTTATAACTATGATTTCTGTACACAACTTGTTAGATACAGTACTAAAATGCATATAATCAAAAATCAAATACGTGAGAGCAAAGATCACAATCTTAAGAGTATGTTTGACAAGGTTTATAAACTAGTGTGTTTGTAAGTAGAGGTAAATGAGTCATGCAGAGTAGAGTACAATTATTTTTGGAGTACTAAATTAAGTGTTGTCTCATTGAAACAATGTCAAGAACATTCAGTTGAACAAGATTTGAGCTAAGGAAAATAGCACAACTAATCTCCTTTGAGTCCATACATTCATATCTCATGTACCAATTTCTTGAATGTAGACGATAACAATACTTTTGTGAATAAATCAATCACATTGTCACTTGAGTGAATTTGACAAACATCAAAGTCATCATTCTTTTGAAGCTCATGTGTATAGAAGATTTTTGAAAA